TTGGATGGCCAGCCTGCACTCGCTGCGTCACCAACTGGCGAACCTTGTGGAATATTTTAAGGTAGAAGAGGCGTTTCACTTGTTGGGCAGCCAGCGGGCAATAGGCACACTGGACTTGCAGGGGATTGAGTTGGAGCTGCACATCATGGCGGGATTTGCCTACCTGCACCACTGTCGTCCGAAAGAGGCGGTGCTGCATTTTAATGATCACATTGATCCGAGAGATCTATTGCTGTCACTTCTCGAGTGCATCCCACCCGGCCCTGAGGAGTACAGTCCCGAACTGCGAGCCCTGCTGGAAAGGAAGCATGTGAAGAAAGACACGAGTGCTACCCCAAAGGCGGGACGCTCAACTACTTTGAAGGCCGGAGTCGCATCCAAACATGATGAAAGCTATGAGAATAGTGATAATGACGATAAGGATGGCGTTGACAACTACTGGGCTGAGTGGGAAGGACGCTGTCCCTACAACACATATGCTGGGGAACTTCACCATGCTTGGCTTGAGACATTTGAAACGTTTCCGCTTGTGCCAAGGAACAGTGACAATGTGGATGAATCTACATACCGCCAGGTTACGGAATGGGGTGCTGTCACCGCAACGGATTTTCTTGAACATGCGTGGGAATTATTTAAGGATGAGATTGTTCTGTACTTTCGTTTCCGCCTAAGTCAGGCCTCGGATGTCTACGCGCGAGCGATGGAGTACGCCCTGCTGGTACTTGCCCTTGAAGCACAAGATCATCGAGCGGCGTATCGAATTGTTGCATACGGCTCATCGATCCGTCTAGAAGACTGTTATGACTTACTTTCCTCCCTGCGGGAATACCGTCTGCTGGCATGTTTATTGTTTCGCCGTGGATATTTTCAGGAAGCGAATTTGGTATTAACGTCGCGTGTGTACGTCTCCAGTATTTTGCCATCTTTAGAGGGTAATCCGCCAGACGCCACGGGAGTAATCTCTCCGGCCTACAAGATCTTGCCAGAGGCGATGCATGTGCACTTGGACCGACTCTTGAATGCCACCCTAAAGTCACCCTGTATGAATGCAATGCGGCATTCGACACATGAGAAAAGAGTCTCATTGAATATGACGCCAACAACCACGGTGCTTCCCGCTTCCCTTACAGAAGCGATGTACCTGGTAAGCAAGCTCAATTTGTCAGCGCTGCGGGAACTGCTTCATGAGAGTCCTGAGGCCTCATGGACATTGGATGAAGAAGGCTGTTCTTTGCTTCATGTCCTTTTTAGCCTTTTGGTTTTGTTGGAGACTTCTGAAGAAGATATGACGCCAGAAGGCAAAAGCGCATTACTGAATCTTGTTTTATCTTGTGCGATATTATTGTTGGATTATGGTGCCCCCGTGGCAATATTGAATGCACAGGGACTTAGTTGCTTGGATGTGGTTGCTCTGGTGGCCGATGATGCTTTACTAGATATCATTCTTACAGCACTGCTTGCCGATAACGATTTGAAGGAAATCGCTGATGCTGTCGAAAAGGGCAATACAATGCCGACTCCCTGAGACGGTTGACAAGCTCCACATCCGTTTTGCGTGTAGTTCTCTTCCTCTCCAATTGTGTGTGTGTGTGTGTGTGTGTGTATCCGTTTGGTGGGATTGGCGGAAAAGGGAGAAGTAAGAACAATTGTTGCCTACCAGTGAAGCGTCTTTACTTCTTGGTTTACGCCTCTCCGTAGAGTCATGTGCATTACAAACTCACAGAAGGGGAGAAAGAGAGAAAGAGAGAGAGATTCACTTGCGACACCACGTTCTTTTGCCTACATCTGTCTTTATTTGTTTCTTTATTTTTCTCTTTTGGTGCTTTGTCCAAAGGAAAAGGTTAGGGAGCAGCAGGCAGGCGTACTGCAACCCATACTGATGCCCTTATTAACGCGTGGGCAGCGGCGGTTGCTGGAGTACGTAGGGCATGACGGTGGAACGAAAGGCCTGAAGCGAAGACGCATGGAGGACGTGGCGCCCGTCTTGCATAAAAGGAAGCAAAAATGGACTCGTAAATTTACCACCGAGACGGCGTCAACCGATGTTTCATTGGCGGAGGTGCCGCTGAGCAGCGAGGTGCTGGAGTTTCTGCGGGAATACTGCCCGAAGGCCCCCCGCAAGCTCCGTCAGAGCCAACTTCGTGTCATCTCGGACCTCAGCGGCGCATTTGGTGAGAACAGTGAAAAGGAGGAGGGAGAGACCTTCACCGTGAAGCGGGTGGAATTGAAGGAAAATGCCGAAGTGTTTGCCGTGGTGGCACTTGCGGCGCTGCAGAGGCGGGCTCTGTGGAGTGGTTCAACGCCACAGGGCGCGTCTCTTTTTGTTCTCGTAGAAACGGACGCGGATGCAGCGGCATTGGCTGCGCATATGGGAAAGACATACAAAATGACCCAGACGCTGGTGTTGGACGGCTCCCGTTTTCCGACGTTTCCGGCCGTTGAGAAGGATGACGCGGCAACCGCCACAACGCTGGCGGAGCGCACGGCGTTGGTGATTGCATCTTTGCAGGCGTTTGTCACGGTGGATGCGCGGAGTGCGATTTGGAAATTTATTGGAGCTTACGCCATTTGGTTGAAGTCGTCCAAACCCCCCGCCTTGCTGCAGGAAATGGCAGACGGAACAAGAAGTGAGCTCGAGGAAAAATTGTGCCGGCAGCGGTGGCGTTGTTTGGGACATGCCTCGCTGGCTGTCGTCATTGCTCCATCGCGAGTCTCCCTCTTTGCACCCGTGACGGACACCTTAACGACATCTGTGCCCATTGACGACGGGGAGAAGAAGAAGAATGCCGGCCGTGACAGCGCGGTGGACACCGGCAACAGTAATAAAAATACACAGACCGAAGAGAGGTGTACTCACACCGCTGCCACCAGGCGACGTCCTGTCACGGCACACTACGCAGTTGTGGAGGGCGCACACCGTTTTCAGACCCTCTACACTCTCATTATGAGCCTTCGTGAGGGACAGGGTCTCGTTGTGCATTTTGCCACCAAGGAGGCCTGCCAATTTATGTATAACGTTCTTTATGCATTAGGGGAACTGTCGAAATCGCTGCTGTTGTTGACGGACTATGAAGGACCCAGCACGTATGCCTCTGTGCAGGACAAGGATGAGGACCGAGAGCGTCTGTGTGCTCAATTTGACAAGATTATGTTGGATGCCGCGCGAAAAGATTTTCCCACCAAACGCGAGAAGAACCGTGTGGTGGTTCTTTCTGCTTTCGGCCTTGTACCGCAGACGGGCACCATTTTTGTTCAATACGACATCATGGTTGACGTTGTGAACTTTGCCCAGTTTGTCAGCGACGTTCTGACGCCCGCCGCTTACAATATTGCGGCTACGGAACCAACGAAGCGGCGTCGCTCACGCACGCCGCCGCCACGCGGAGATCGAAAAGAGTCTCAAGAAGGGGATGTTGCGGCCGCTTCAAAGGCGACTCCCCCCAGTAAAGCGATGTACCAAACGGTTTTGTTATTTTTACGCCGAAATGAACTGCAGCCCGCCTTGAGTTACCTTCAGCGCCCCGCAAAGCGACTAAATATAACCTTTGAGCAGCTACCGCAGCTTCCATCCGCCACACGTTTTCTGTTGTCACTGCAGAAGATGCGCTCACTGAACAAGAAGCAATTTGCCGTACAAAACGCCGCATACGCTGCGTACCGTGCGACCATGTTGCTTTATTCCCTCATAGGCCCCTCGGATGTCTACAATGAGCGGTGTGTTGACCTTGCGAAGGTCGCCGAGGAGTTTGGCTACACGGAGGTTCCCATTCTTGACCTCCGCACCCGCGACACGCCATTCCGGCCGAAGGAAGACATTTTCCGTGCGGCCGCAGAGCGTGCGGTGGTGGAGCGTCGCAAAATGCGGGCGTACGTGAATGAACACATCGTGGGCGAGGCCCCAGAGGAGCACGTCGCCGACAGCATGGCAGAGGCAGAGGAGTAACGCCGCACGTGCAAGAATAGGAGGAAAAACAAAAGGAAAAAACAAGCCACTGTCGAGGAGGGCAAAAGAAATCAGCAAAAATCGAATGATGAGTGAATACGACAGAGGAGGAGGCAAAAAAAAAAAAAAAGAGAGAATGAAAGAAAAGGATGCGAAGAGGAAGAGTGAGAAGAAGACAAAACCGCTAACACATCCATTTGACGCACTTGGGTCTCTCATATATGTCTTGCACTTAACAACACAAAAATACATTTAAGTTTGTTTTTTTTTCTTTAAGGTAGGAGTAATCATTACTAACTGAAAATACCGTTTAAATTTGGAATGAGAAATTAGAGTGGGAGGAGAAGAGTGTCGCTTCAATTGTGGCCGTTGTTTTGTAATTTGTTTGTGTGTCTTTTTTTCTCTCTGTCTTTGTATTCACTTGCGAGGGACGGTCTTTTTGTTTGTTTGTTTGTTTGTTTTCTGACGGTCTTTTTTTTTGCCCCCCCCCCGACGTGAATGTTTCTCACACATATTCTGCGTCATGGGATATGCGTGTAAGGTGTAAAAGCAAGTGAAATTTTTAACGATACGAAAATGCCGGTTGGGCGGAATGTGGCAGTTGAGCACGACGATGATGTTGACATCTCCACGCCGTTTCATAAGTACTTCAACCCGAACTACTCCGCAGAGTTTATGAGCAAGCTTCCTGAACGCATCCAGCAACGTGCAAAGGTTCTTTTGCATTACCATGAAGAGTACGAAAAGCTTCGCAAGAATTTTGAGGAAAAGGAGACGGCACTGCGCCGCCAGTACGACGAGCTGTACGCGCCCCTCCACGATCACCGTAAGGAGATCATCACCGGCTCCAGAGAACCCACCGATGAGGAGGTCGCAAAGGGATTTCCCAGCGAACATGAGGGTCAAGTAGAAATCAAGGTTACGGAGGCGGAAGCTGACAAGTCCGTCGTGGGTATTCCGGGATTTTGGCTTCGCGTACTGCGCGGTCATGTGCTCTCCGATTCCCTGATTGAAGAACACGATGAAGAGGTCCTCAATCATCTGAAAGACATACGATCGGGAGTGTTGGATGGTAGTTATGGCAGCTTTGCCGTTGTTTTTGTGTTTGGATCCAATGATTTCTTCCAGGAGGAGTCTCTTGTGTTGAGCGTCAAGCATAACGACGATGGCGTGAAGATCACTCGTACTCCGCCCACGTGGAAGCCGGGCAAAGACGTGACGGTAGAGACGGTCACAAAGAAGTTGGGTGGCAAGCGTGGCAAAGGCGCCAAGACGAAGACCTTCACTGTTCCACGGAATTCCTTTTTCAACGTGTTTAAAGAGATGTCGAAGGACAAAGCCAAGGCAGGAGGTGACGGTGACGAGGAAGACGACGATGAGGATGAGGATGAGGAAGAACAGATTGAGCAACTGCTTAACGTTCTTCACACCAGCATTATCCCCTGCGCCGTGAACTTCTACACAGGCGAGGCTCCCGATGGCAGCAGCGACTTGGAGTCGGCCGACTTCGATGACGACGACGACGAGGAGGACGAGGAGGAGGAGGAGGAGGAGGAGGATGAAGATGAGGAGGAGGAGGAGCTCCCGAAAAGAGGTCCAAAGGGGCGTGGGGGTCGCGGAGGTAACAAACCGGCCAACACACAGCAGGAATGCAAGCAGCAGTAACATTATTTTTTCTCCTTCCGTTTCACTTGCGGTTCTTCACTTCTTTGGGGGAAATTCTCTTCGTTGCCGTATGCGAGGCCGGGGAAAAGAGACCGCTCCACGTGCCGGCTGCCGGGCAAAGGACATTATTGACCCCGGAGAAGAATTGAAACGAAAAAAAGGACGGATGGGAAGGGCGAAAAAATGGGGACACACGTGCGCCAATTATTTTAAGGAAACAAATCAAAACTTTGCCCCGAAAATAAAACAACAAACGAGTGGGACGAGGCACCGAGGAGGGAGGAGGAAGCAAGAAAGAAAGACAAAAAAAAAAAAAGTGTGCATTTGAGAGGCGTAAGGGGCGAAAAGAAGCCAACATAAAATCAATTGGCAAGGATTTTTAAAAAAATAATAATAATAATTTACAGTAGGCGTACCGACAATAAATGTGTACACGCGTGCCTATTTGATGATAACCGTGGGAGCACCAGCAAGAAAAAGAACATGTATTGGCAGGCAAAACAACAAGCAGACGGAGACGCACATAACACACGTATTACTACGACTTGACTATCACCGGATTTGTTTGTGTGAAAAAACATTGGGAAGTGGAGGCAAACAGTACCAAAAAAAAAAAAAAGAGGAAAAAGAAATGGGGAAGGAGGAAAAATAATAATAATGAAAAAAGGGAGGGGAAATACAAAGACAAGACGGCATGAGGAGAGACGAATAATATCCATATCTACCTAACTAAATATAGATAAGAAGAATAACGAGTCAAATAGACAGTTATTGTTAATACTCTCTTTTAAAAAAAAATAAAAATAAAAAAAAATGTTTTTTTCTTTTCTTTTCTTTTTCTTTTCTATCTTCTCTGATGCTTCTGTTTGTTATGCATGAAGCCTGGTGAGATTGTGTGTTCCTGGTGGGCTCTTTTGTGGTTGTTGTTGTTTTCTGCCTACGCACTCTCTTCATGGCACCAGTTTGTTTTCAGCTACCATCTGAGCATAAGTGCGCATATACATGCATATATATATATACTAAGGTATTCATAGTTATTGATCTGCCGACTGCTTTCGGTGCTTTCACGACCCCATCAACGATTGTTGGTCAGCTGTTAGCGGGCTGACGACTTTGTCGGTGCATGTTCTTCTCTTTTTCTTTCTGTTATATCCTTGTTTATTCTCTGTGTTTGTTTGCAACATCCATTCAATCCCTTGGGAAAAAAAAAAAAAAATAGCCCTTTCTATCCTTGCAGGGGAGGGAGGGAGGAAATTATAGAATAGGGTAAAAACTGGCCTATCTTCTCCAATTACACCAGCCGTAACGCGACCACCACCGGGGTTGGTTTCTTCTACGGTGAGGAGCAATGCCATTGAGTGGGGAGGATCAGACACTGTCTGCACGCCTCCTCACTCTGCCGGCTACGGAGCACGCCATCCTTCTTAACCGCTTTAAGTTTTTGGATCTTGTCCAGCGTGTGGCTGCGGCGGATGTAGCGGAGATGGTGCAGACAATCGGTTTAGAGGCGCTCTCATACAAGGGGGCACTGGAGAAGATTCCACCAACATTTGCAGTTGCGGCGGATGCAACGAAGCCAGCTTTTGCGGAAAAACCCACGCGCCGTGGCAAGTTGTCACCCCCGCGCAAAGGTGCTCGGGCCGCAAATGTCCCTACAGAGACCCCTCCCCGACGACATCGTTTTCAAACACGTGAAGAGGAATTACAATTTATTAACCGAATGTCACAGCCACAAAAGGATCGTGCCCTACCTGAATTTTATCTCCGCAAGCCCCCACGCGACCAGCAGGAAGAAAGGCTCATGTATGCGCGCATGGATTCGTCATATTCGCCTCTTCTTGGGGCGTACAATGCGGCAGCTGCCACTCCACCTATTAACTTGAAAAAGAATAAGCGGCGTCATGAGCAAAGTGACAACGACGATGACGACGACAATAATGACGATAATGATAATGTGGTTATTAGCTCGAGCGGCGACAGGCTGGTTTCTGGTGGAGAGCCGCCAAAGGTACGGCTTGTTGCCCAGACGCCCACTCGTGGCGGCCGGCCTCCCCCACAGCCATCTCCGCATCGACTTGTAGAGCGACCTCCCAAGGAACCGAAACATTCAAACACGTACCCCGAGGTGAAAAAGAGAACGGGTACATCCGGGGCCGAAGGAGTCTCCGTGGCAGGAGATCGAGAGGGACCATTCCGCGTTAATGCAACGAAAAACGCTCCGACTCAGTACGAAGATGCACCTCAAGCGAAACAAAAACAACAACCGCTACACTCAGATGCCTGGCAGAACCCACACATGGAGGTGATGACGCCGCGGACGATACAGAACCTTGCCATGCGGCATCGTGGTCATTTTGCGCCAAAAGCAAAACCGAAAGCTGCAGCGGAAGTACCTCGGGTTCCGATGGAAGTAATACGTCATGCCTCCGCATTGTTGACAGGTAGAAGCGTGGCATCATCACCTTATCTATCCGGGACACAGGACCCACAACAACCGGCAGCAATTCCCACACACAGTGTATCTTGGGATGCGCAGACTCCTCAATTTCCTTCAGCCACGTCGCAATTGCAACCAACAAATTCTTCCGTGCATCGTGGGAACAGAAAAGGTGACTCAGACAGTCAGCTTGGGCAAACAACACCTTGGACAACATCAATAACTCTCTCCGACGATGTCCTTGCAGAACTTACTTCTACTGTGGATAGCATGCTAAGAGATCATCGAGCTGTGCTAGATAGCATTATGAAGGATAGAAAAGATCCGCTTTCCCAATTTCAGGAACTCAGTAAAGACACGGGGAAAGAAGCGCATGGAGTTTCTGTCGATAATTCGGGGGATAATGTGAGCGGAATTACTCAAAAGGTAAAAGGAAAACGTGCAAAATTAAATATTACTCCTGATGACGAAGAGTCTGCCCGCATATTGCAGCAGGCCCATGACGTCTTAGAGGATATTAGTGATGATGAGGATGAATTGCTGTTGGTAAGTCGTCTCCAGCGGCAATTGGGTGCGATGGATCGGGAGCTGGAAGCCATTGAGCAGCGTGATAAACAACAACAACAATATGGATCGAGCAAGGGGGAGAAAGAGGATCTTGAGGATGGAGATGACGATGAACAGTTGATACACCGGAAGGAATCGCCCAAAGGAGACCGCCGTCATGTGAGAATTGATGATTCCAAGAAAACAGTCTCCGGGGGCGATTTTAATTTTGGTCGCGGGAATTGTCGTCGTCGTCGTGGTGAAATGCCGCGTGCCATTGTGGAGCGTCTGCGGTCATCTCAGAAGGAGCACCAAGAGTACATTCGGTACACAGAGAAGCAATGGAATAGTT